AAGGAACACTTGGACAGCTGGAGCATTGCAGGCAGTCTGGGAGCAGTTTGCACTCTCCAGCTGATGGAAACCTGCTGGGACAGATACAGAAGTTAAGTGTAGGGGAAAATTTTTTTTTATCTCGGGTGTACTTTTGAAACTTTCAGGCCCATAGTCCTGGTAGTTGTGGATGTGGAAGTAGTCCCAAGGCAGGCATTGGGTGTGTGTGTAGGGGTCGGGGAAGAGATAGATATCCCACCCTTAGGAACAGGCGGTAGGCAGGGAGGCTTAGGCTGTTGGTTGGCAGGAGTACTTACCTGGAGTCAGTTTGACCTATGACAGGTAGGTACAAGTCATAGCTCACTGAAGTTTACATGAGCTTTTTTTTTTAATGTTTACAAAAAGAGGTACAAGTTTTTAATGTATTAGCATTACCACTGTTAGTAATCTGTACTGAAATGCTCATTGTAAGTGTTTGTAAAGAGCTGAGTCATAGCAAAAGCTGTGGTTTTGGGTTTAAAGCTCGAGCACTCTTTCCTCTCTCCAGAGGACTGGATGTGTAGATTGGACAGAGATGTTTTCAGCACAATGAGAAGCACTTTTAAATCTATACTTAGAAGACAACCAAGGACATTTACAGTTTTGAGCTTGTGACTTGGTAACAGTCATTGCTTTACCAGGGCTGGATAAATAGCCTATGAAAACTCCCTTGATTAATATTAAAACACTGAACTTTAGAAATCTTAGTATAACAATAGCAAAGAGGAGAAGAAATCTGAAACCTTTCTCATTTTCACATACCTTAAATCAGTTCCTCAGACATTTATAGTTTGCATTTACATGCTTTAAGTCACTTTCTTATACCCTCAGAACTTACTTAAACTTTCACATCCTTAGACCTTTACAACTTTCATTTACTGTCTTACATTCTCACAACTTACATAAATTTCAAACCTTTTCTTTCCATCCAATCAAATACCATGAAACACAGGTGGTTGATTATTGAGAGCATTGTAAATAAAGCAAGTTCATTAAATAAAGGAATAATAAAAGTTTACACTGAAACCTGTTTTGTGAGTTTTCACTCTTTTAGTGTGAAGCCTGTCAGCAAAGTAAACTGTCTGCCTTTCTTAGCAGGAGACCTAGCAGCTCTAGAAAAGGGAGGCCTGATTTTTACATATGAACTGAACTGAACTGTCTTAGTTAGGGTTTCCATTGCTGTGAAGAGACACCATGACCATGGCAATGGCAATCCTTATAAAGGAGAACATTTAATTGGGGTGATGCTTACAGTTTCAGAGGTTTAGTCCATTATCATCATGGCGGGGAGCATGGTGGCTGGGAGTGTGGTGGCATGCAGGCTGACATGGTGCTGGAGAATTCTGTATCTTGATTCAAAGGCAATAGGAAGTGAACTGTCTCATGGGGCATGACTTGAGCATATGAGTGGAGTCCTCAAAGCCTGCCTCAACAGTGACACCCTTCCTCCAACAAAACCACACTTACTCCAACAAGGCCACACCTCCTAATAGTGCCACTCCCTTTGGGGGTCATTTTCTGTCAAACCAACACATGGACTGGCCAAGAAACTGCAGCCTTGGGAGGAGGAACTGGTTTGCTTGCATCTGTTAAACTGATAAAGCCACAGTTAGTCATCAGCATCCTCACATCTGAGAAGGATAAGTTAGAGCAGGAAGTATAACCCAAATGGCCTCAATATCAATTAATGACAGAGACTTAACAGCTACTGGATGATTAACTTATGCTCCTGTGGTGATCTCAGTGGCTTTGTTGGGAGCAGAAGAAGTTGGTATTCGGCTGTCACACAGGACTGTGTTAAATCTTCAGCTGCCAGACCCAGAAGGTCTCAGTTTTTCCTGTGGAGGAGGAACTTGGAAAAACTGACCTACTTTGGCAAGGCAGAGTAGAACAGTCAACCCAACGGTGTTCACAGTTTGGGCAGGACCTGGCAGTGGATGAGGCATGGGCAGTTCCTTTTCTAGTGATTAGCTTTAATACAATCTGTGTAGAGTCATCTGTGCCCCATCATTTCCTTTGGAGACCTCAGGGTCATTGCTAGGAGCTGGCATTTCTGTCTATTACAGGAAGCTTTTTTTTTATTAAACACTTTAAATGCCATATTCAGCAGATCTCTGAAGAGTTTGAGGACCATTATCTATTAACACATTTCACATGGCTCATGAGTTTTCTGTGTTTCGTGCATCATCTTTTAAGGACTGCTCATGAGTTTTCTCATTTTTCACATACTGTCTGTGATAGACCTTAGATGTCAACACTAGATGTCAACACTGTCTTGTCCACTTCGAATGAACGATTTCATTGGTGGAAACCATGCAGGCTAATCTGCAAAAACTATATAATTGCACGAACCCATAAAGCATTGCAGTTACATTGTATTTTGGTCATTCGAATAGTCTTTGTCTTCATGTTACTGGTGCTTTTAGAAATGTCCTCTCTTGGAAAAAGGATGAAACCAGTGAAACTGATGTACTTCTGGAAGTATTCATCGATAATCTATCATATATTCCTAGTGAGGTTGAAGATGTGGATGACTGCTTTTGACAATGCTGGAGATAATTCTACAGATTCTACTGACAGTAAAATTATTAACTTGGAAGGAAACCCAAGGCAGCGGTACTTTCAAGAGATTCCTACACTAACTAAGCTACTGATAATTTTTGGTCTTAATTGGCACACCACCACACTTCCAAACATTTGAAGGTCATGCCGGGGTCACTGCATCATCTCCTTCTCAGTGTGACTCTGTGTCCTCTGTGACCAATCTCTTTTTTGGTGATGAATTTAATGTCTCATTTGGTGTTGAGTTGTTTGAGATGTTGTACAAAGAGCTGTCCCAACCATCATGATCAAACTGCAGTGAAACTCAAAACACCATCTAGAACACTGAAGTGGCCTCCAGTTCCACAGAAAGACATCAAGAAATCCCTTGACTTAATTATTCTGATGGGCCCAACAAGAAAATATAGCTTGGGAGACTATTGGTCAACAGATCCTTTGATATGCACCCCTATATTTCCACAGACAATGAGTCGCCGTAGATTTGAGCAAATATGGACATTCTGGCATTTCAACGAGAACGCCAAAAAGGACAGTCTCTTGGGGAGACTTTTCAAGCTCCAACAGGATTATTTCCTGCATACATTTCAAACAATATACAAACCAAGCAACAGTTGTCTTTGGATAAGGGAGTGATTCCAGGAAGAGGGCGTTTATAATTTCCCACACACAACCTAATGAAAATAACAAAATATAATATATGAAAGATGTATTATGTATACAGCATTATGTCTGCATGTTGGCCTACACACCAGAAGAGGGCATCAGATCTCATTCTATGTCTATGAGCCACCATTAGGTTGCAGGAAATTGAACCCAGAACCTCTGGAAGAGCAGTCAATGCTCTAAACCTCTAAGCCATCTCTCCAGCCCCACAAGACATTTTTGTTTAATTTTTTAAAAATTAAACATGCATGCACCCACGCACTCGCACGTACACCCTTTTTGCATAGAGTTTTCCTATATTGAGCCCAGTAGGCAGTAATGTACCAGTATTATTCTTTGAGCTCAACATCTTGTTTTTCAAGAGGCTGCTTGTCACCTCAGCGGGTTGTTCCCCAGCTCTCTCTGTTTCTTTGTTACACCCCCAATGCCTAGGAAGATGTTCTTCGGTGTGCATTTCGTACACACTCAGAAGGGGGCTCCTCTGGCACCAGATCATTTCTCCTGGTAAACCTTGTCTCTTGTCTTTATCCCACATGGTCTTCTACCTCTCTGAGCCCTTTTTAGAAAACGCTGAGCTTCTGCTTATATTCCTCTGGGTGAGGTTATACAAAGAGTGGGCATGAAGCTGTGTGTCCCTTGCCTCCTTAGGATCCCTGTTGTGCACCCTCAGGATCCTGTCCATGAAAGCCTTTTCTCTCTTTTCTTCCTTGTCCCAGTGCTAGGATTGAACCTAGGGCCTGCGCACACTAGGCAAACACTACCACTGAGCTACACACCCACTATTTGTTTTGTTTCCTTTTTTGAAATAAGTTTTCATGTAGCTTAGTCTGGCCTGGAATGTGGAATTTTCCCCTGTGCTTCCTGAGTAGGTGGAATTGCAGGTATCTACCACCATCCCTGGCACCAGAACAATCCTTCTAAGAGGCAGCAATTATACAAAATTCCAGCACCCCTCCAAAAAGTATTTTCCTCATCCCAAGTAAACCTTTATTTTAGATGTATCTGTCTTCAACTAGTCATTACTTCTCTTTTTACCTTTTATTGTCATTTTTTCTAATTTTTGTTATGCAAAAACATTTTATTTTTATTATAATGCATTTACTTTACCTTGAAAAAGTTGTTTTTGTTTTTTTTTTAGTGATTTGTCTTCTCTAGTGAGAAAATAATGTCTCTGACTTGGAAATCGTCTTCATGTAAAGTCTTTTTTTTTTTTTTTTAAAGATTTATTTATTTTTTTTAAAAGATTTATTTATTTATTATGTATACAGCATATATGACTGCAGTCCAAAAGAGGGCACCAGATCTCATTACAGATGGTTGTGAGCCACCATGTGGGTGCTGGGAATTGAACTCAGGACCTCTGGAAGAGCAGTCAGTGCTCTTAACCTCTGAGCCATCTCTCCAGCCCCTCATGTAAAGTCTTATTTGAAGCAGAGTGGTAGTGCTTGGCTGTCATTCTGGCCATTCTGCAGGCAGCGGCAAAAGCTTTCAAGTGTAAGGCCAACAGTCGCTTGCTTGCTGCATCACTCCAGTCTCGGCCTCTCTGGTTATCTTTCCCTTGTGTACGTTTGTCTCTTCTTATAAGGACACAGTCGCTCCAGGTGACGGTCTCATCTTACTTTTGACTTACGTCTGCAAAGACCCTGTTTCCAAATACATCATCTACATGTACCAAGGATTAGGACTTCATGGGTCAGAATACAGTTCAACCCACAGCAGACAATGACAGCTTTCCCTCCTTTCTTTCCTCTGACCAGATGCCCGTCACAGGCTCGTCCCATGGCCCTCGTTTCTGCTGATTCCCGAATTGCAGAGCTTCTCACAGAGCTCCATCAGCTGATCAAGCAAACCCAGGTAAGAGCGAAGTGAAGCCTGGGCTGTGGTGTTATGCTGTAAGGAGGAGGGGCTTATGTTCAGAGAGACCTCCACGAGCTAAGATACCATAGAGGAGGTGGGAGGGGAGACTCGTGTCTGACCGCCATTCCTGTGGGGTTTTCTGTCCAGTACAAGACCTCACTTTTGTTTAACAGCGCTTTGAAAGACAGGTCACATACCACACAAGGCTCCTGCTGAAAGTGCACAATTCAGTGATTTTTAGAAGTTTAGTTGTATAACTGTCACCGCAATCAGTTTAGAGCCATACCCTACCGGTAATCACTCCTCCTCCTCCACCCAACTCCTCCTCCTCCACCCAACTCCTCCTCCTCCACCCAACTCCTCCTCCTCCACCCACTCCTCCTCCTCCACCCACTCCTCCTCCTCCACCCACTCCTCCTCCTCCACCCACTCCTCCTCCTCCACCCACTCCTCCTCCTCCACCCACTCCTCCTCCTCCACCCAACTCCTCCTCCTCCACCCAACTCCTCCTCCTCCACCCACTCCTCCTCCTCCACCCAACTCCTCCTCCTCCACCCAACTCCTCCTCCTCCACCCAACTCCTCCTCCTCCACCCACTCCTCCTCCTCCACCCACTCCTCCTCCTCCACCCAACTCCTCCTCCTCCACCCAACTCCTCCTCCTCCACCCAACTCCTCCTCCTCCACCCACTCCTCCTCCTCCACCCACTCCTCCTCCACTCCAAACTCCTCTTCCTCCACCCCAACTCCTCCTCCACTCCAAACTCCTCTTCCTCCACCCCAATCTCCTCTTCCTCCACCCCAATCTCCTCTTCCTCCACCCCAATCTCCTCTTCCTCCACCCCAAACTCCTCTTCCTCCACCCCAAAGTCCTCTTCCTCCACCCCAAAGTCCTCTTCTTCCACCCCAAACTCCTCCTCCTCCACCCCAAACTCCTCCTCCTCCACCCCAAACTCCTCCTCCTCTATCCCCAAACTCCAAGTAAACACAGATGTTCTTACGAGGTAAGCCAGTCGAAGGGTTTAGAGTTAACTTCCAGGATATGGAAGCACTTTAGAATGTGTGGGGTTTAGACAACCCAGGTCTACTGAGTTAACCCTGTTCACCCTCTGCTGCCCAGATTACTAACCTGGCCCATGACCACATATTTCTGGGCTGCAGCTCAGCTGAAAACAAAGCCAGTCACCTTGCCTCAGTCCAGACAGATTACCATGGCATTATGTATTAGAGCCTACCACCTTCTTTTGAGATAGACACAGGTTACCATGGCATTATGTATTAGAGCCTACCACCTTCTTTTGAGATAGACACAGGTTACCATGGCATTATGTATTAGAGCCTACCACCTTCTTTTGAGATAGACACAGGTTACCATGGCATTATGTATTAGAGCCTACCACCTTCTTTTGAGATAGACACAGGTTACCATGGCATTATGTATTAGAGCCTACCACCTTCTTTTGAGATAGACACAGGTTACCATGGCATTATGTATTAGAGCCTACCACCTTCTTTTGAGATAGACACAGGTTACCATGGCATTATGTATTAGAGCCTACCACCTTCTTTTGAGATAGACACAGGTGGTATTTAGAGTATTTCTTACTGGTATTGACAGTGCTTCAGGACATAGCTTAGGTTGCTCTGTTACTGTATAGTCATGGTACTTCACTGTGTTACAAGTACCCTGGAGATGTCCATAGGCTGCAGGAGTGAGGGTGGAAGGCCTTTGTCTCGTGGCTTCTCTGGCCTCTATCTGTTCACAATACTTAACCTGCTCTGTTGGTTCAGTGTTTAAGCCCTTTCTTTCCCCACGATGGATGGTTTTAGAGTTGCCTAGCATTTGTGCTGGTCCTGCCTGACTCTAGAGTCCCTCACCATTTCTAAATTGACTTCCGTTCTTGGCTTTTTTCCTATAAGAGAACTCACGTTGATCATCTTATCCTAATTAACAAATACTTTTCCTCTGAATGCAGCTCCTCATTCATCATGTATTTGTCTTGTCCCACAAGGCATTAGGCTGTCACTTGCCTCTTCCAAAGCCCTTTTCTGTCTGTGGGTCAGTGTTGACTCTGCCACTCATGTTGCAGATGTATACTGATGACCTGGGTGTAGTAAGGGTACATGTTTCAGACCAGAAAATGTACAGTGCCCGTTCTAGGATTAAAAAGGTGACAGTCACATGCACATTTATTTGTCCTGAGTGTAGTACCAAGGAATTGCATCTGCCAGGTGATATCTAGTATTCTAATCTTTTTGTTTTCAGACTTATTTTTACTTTACGATTATGGGTGAGTACCCTCATGTATGTTTGTTTACTACATGCATACATGGTGTCCCTGGAGGCCTGAAGAGGTCATCAGATCCCCTGGAACTGTAGTTATAGACAATTGTGAGCTGCCACATGGGCGCGAGGACTAGAACCTGGGTCCTCTGGAAGAGCAGCACTTAACTGCTGAGCCATCTCTCCAGCCCCATAGTGCTCGAAATCCCATTTCCTCCTATATATTCAAATAGCTTTTCTCTCATTCACAAATAAAGAGTCGTATGTGTTTGTTCCTGTAGCCTACTCATAGCATGTTGAGCATGCCATTGCTCTATTTGTCCATTATTACCTTTCCAAGCATTTGCTCACTGAAGTTTGTGTGTGTGTATGTATGGTTGTTTTGTTTTCCTGAGACAGGGTCTCTCTGTGTAGCCCTGGCTGGCCTGGAACTTGCTCTCTAAACCAGGCTAGCCTAGAACTCAGAGACCTATCTGCCTCTGCCTCCCAAGTGCTGGTATTAAAGTCATGTGCCACCATGTCCGGCTTATTGATGTTTATAGCCACACACTAGTTGTTCTGCACCACATGGTCCAGTGAGCCAGTAGGGAACAATTCCCAGAAATTCTTCTCCAGAACCTACCCTTAGTTGGTGTACCCTGAAAAATAAGAGTCATAAAATACTGGTGCATATTTGCTAAGTGAAAGATCCCAGTAGGTTACATACTGTATGCTTCATTCCAACTGTGTGACAAATTCCAGAAAAGATACACTAGAGAAAGTTAAAAAGATGTGAATGGCAGAGCCTTGGGAGAACTGGGGTGGGATGAAAGGCTAGGAGGGGTGTGGAGGATGTTTAGGGAGGTAGGACTCTTGTGTATGATGCTGTAATGAGAGGTCTACAACTGAAGTGGCTGTTCAACCCATAGGGCAGCACAATGCAGAGGGAGCCGTAATGTAAACAGTGGGCTGTCATTAGGGTAAAGGTCAACCTCATGGCCTCTTGACCTCAACTTTACAGGAAGAGCGTTCGAGGAGCGAGCACAACTTGGTGAACATCCAGAAAACCCATGAGCGAATGCAGACTGAGAACAAGAGTGAGTAAATGAGGCAGAAGAGAAAGGAGGTGGGAAGGGCTGAGACCAGGAGCATGGCCTTACTGTGTCTTCCAAGGGGACTTTTGCTTGTATCTGCATAGTCCAAAGTTGCTCTTCAGGGTCGTTGTTCCTTTGGCTGAATGACCTAAAGTGACAGGGACTGATGACTGACTGACTGCCTTGCACCACAGGACCTCAGAGTCTGTCAGCTCAGGACTGGAAAGGCAGCCTTGTGTGCATGAGAACTCACCCTTACCTTAGAGCTCATGGGCACAGAGCTTTTCTGGAGCAGAGTTCCCCCATGGCCTCTGCATGTGCACAAAGGCAGCTTACCCTCCCTGTGCTTGGTGCTTTCTAACTCAGAATAACTTTGGATAGTACCAGCTTCTCCTTGGTTCTCTGTACCTGTCTTGGTATGGACAGGTGGCAGGTTAGAAGTGCTTTCTAAGAATGGTGGGGGCTGGAGAGGTGGCTCAGTGGTTAAGAGCACTGGATGCTCTTCCAGGACCCAGGTTCAATTCCCAATACCCACATGCCACATGGTAGCTCACAACTACCATTCCCTCCAATTCCTGGGGATCTGACATACTCACACACAATGCACCTAAAGCACGAATAAATTATTATTAAAAAGAAAAAAAAAGAATAGTGGTGGTGTCTTTACCATATGGAAATGTGACCCTGATGATCAGGGAACACTTTTTTAATGTGTATTGTGAGGGGGTGTATATGCACTTGTGTGTGTGTGCAGAGGCCAACCTCATGTTTCATTCCTCAGGCACCTTTCACTTTTTTTTGTTGTTTTTGTTTTTGAAATGGTCCACTATATATCCCTGGCTGTCCTAGAACTCAATGTGTAGGCCAGACTGGCCTTCAGGTTACTGATATCCACCTGCCTCTGCAAGTGCTGATTAAAGCAAATGCTACCACATCTGAGGTGCCTGGCTTTTCTTTACTTGGGTTCTGGTGATAGAGGTTGTTTCCTGGTACTTGCAAGGCAAGTACTTTCCATACTGAGCCATCTTACTAACCTCCTGGGAGCATGTTTGAACTCCTAAAGCTTAGAATCCAGGCCCTGGCCTCTGAGCCTCTTCAAGCTGATTCTGATGTCCTGGGTCAGGGTCCCATGCTGCCACCTCCTCTTGCTCATGCCTCCTCGTCCTGTGTTTATAGTTTCTCCTTATTACCGGACAAAGCTGCGTGGCCTCTACACAACCGCCAAGGCCGATGCGGAGGCTGAGTGCAAGTGAGTACCACCCACAGGGCTGCTGCTGCCTGTTCCCTGACCTCTATTCTGGACCACATGTGACCAGAGGCCACAGCCCCAGCTTGCCTTCTGTCTGTGAAGAGGGTCCTCCTGCTCTGCCTCTCCCATTGCTTGAGTCTTCCCAAGCCCTACCTTCATTACCCGTTCTTCCCCTTTAGTTCACTGCTTTATAGATGCAGTAATCAGTGTCATGTCCCTGTGTACCATTTCCTAGTCAGGTGACCCTGCAGTCAAGTCAGTTGAAACTGTTGCCTTGCCATTAAAATCCAGTGATAACTCCCACTGGATTGTGAACAGACAGTGGGATAATGTGGAGAGAATGCTGGATTCTATAAACTGTTCTTCTCCCGATGGGAATATGCTGACTATTGCAGCCTGTATGGTAACCAGGACCACTGTATGTCACTGCTCTGCCTGTAATGGTAACCAGGATCACTGTATGGCACTGCTCTGCCTGTAATGGTAACCAGGACCACTGTATGGCACTGCTCTGCCTGTAATGGTAACCAGGACCACTGTATGGCACTGCTCTGCCTGTAATGGTAACCTGGACCACTGTATGGCACTGCTGTGCCTGTAATGGTAACCAGGACCACTGTATGGCACTGCTCTGCCTGTAATGGTAACAACCACTATATGGTACTACTGTGGTCATGTTACCATTCCAAGTACTTTTTTAATATTTTTATTTTTTGAAACAGAGTCACACAATGTAGCTCTTGTCCTGGAACTCACTATGTAGAACGGGCTGGCCTCCAACTCCCAGAGATTGGCTGCCTTTGCCTCCCTAGTACTAAGATTAAAGCTCCACCATACCTGGTCCAAATACTTTATATATTTCTTTACTCCACTTGATCCTCAAAGTATTCCTTTGATGTAGTTTTTAGTATTGTACCAATTTACTGTTAAGGAAGCTGAATCATAGAGGGATAATAAATCTTCAAAACTCATAGAGCTAGTAAATGGGGAAGTCTGGTTTCTAAGGCAGAAGTCCACAGTTAGTACTCTGCTAGGTTGCTACAGCTCAACTTACTTTAAATGAACACATCTCACAGGATTCTGACAGAAGTTACAGTTGATGTGTTGTTATGTGTAGCCAATTCTCTTCAATTTTTTTTGTTTGTTTGTATTTTTTTTTTTCCAAGATAGGGTTTCTCTGTGTAGTTTTGGTGCCTGTCCTGGATCTCACTCTGTAGAACAGGCTGGCCTTGAACTCACAGAGATCCACCTGGCTCTGGCTCCTAAGTGCTATGATTAAAGATGTGTGCCACCACTGCCCAGCCTCTTCACTTTTTAATGCAAGTTGTAGGCAGATAATCTTAAGCCTTCCTAATAAGTCTTAGTCTGCTGTTTTTAACAGTGTGTTAGGGCCCCTCAGAATGCCAGCTGTGGGATAAGGACCAGAGTAGCCTACATGGCTCAGAAGCAGGGGAGGTGGTTCATAAGGGCCTCGAGTGCCACAGGCCTCACTCTAGAGGCCTCGGGAAAAATAAGACTTAAAGTTGCAATAAAAAAGAAGAGTTGGGGAAGAATTCAAAGCCAGTTAGAGACCAAGTCCATGGTGGTGATGGAGGTCAGTGGAACGTGGTAGAAGGGTAGAGAGCAAAAACCAGTTCAATAGAGCGGTTTTTGAGATCTATTTAGGGAGGTAGTTGTCAGAAGGGAGGTTCAAGATGGCAAAGCTTCTAGTTTGGACAGAAGCGTCTGGTGTGGCTCCCCATGTGAGGCTGGAGCACAGAAGAGAAAGAGGAGTGGGCTCTGCTCCTACAGAAGAAACAAAATGAGTTCTTCTGAGTGCCGTGCCCTCCCACTCATCTGGACTGGAGTAGCTCGTGTAGGTCAGAGGGCTGCATGTGTTTGTTTTTCTGGTTTTATGGTTTTTTCCTTTTGTAGTGCTGGGGATGTAGAGCTGGGAACCCAGCGCCTTTGCAGACTCCAAATCTTCACTGGGAGTAAAAAGTCAACTGCCCTTTCTGTCCTAACTGCTGACAGAGTGAAGACTCAAACGAATTTGGTATGGAATGACTCTGGCACAACTTACCCAGCGTTCAACACTTAGGAGCCTGTTTGGTAAACATGGGCTTGCATTGAAATCCTTTTGCTAATTCAGATTTTCATCACCCTACAAATACCCAACCAGACCTTCCCAACTCAGTAGCTGGGAGAGAGAAAGCAAGCAAGAGAGATGAAGCTACTCTCCATCTAGGTCAGAAAAACCCATGCCACCGGTGTTACTGAATTCTTCTGGGTAATTAGTAATAAACACCATAGCGTTTCTTATATAGCATATAAATTAGGATATCAGTGCAGATATAAAACTGTGACCCAGAGAGCTTATTCCTATTTCATCATGAAAGAGGCCTGTTCTAGTGCAGATCTCCATTGCTCAAATGTCCAGTCTCCAGGCTTTGATCTGGATCACTTTTCAGTCTCTTAGCCATTTATGACTTGACCTTTTGAAGGTTATAGGTTAATTATTCTGGGGCATGTCCCTCCCATGGGAGTGTTTAGTGCTTCCTGGCTTCTAGACTCAGGCTTGGCACCTCAGGCATTGGCACCACAGTAGTAGCCTTCTATTTGAAGGCCCAAGATGCTGTGTCTCCTTACTTGATGTGGGATCTCCCAGGTGTGCTTCCCACTGTGTTATCAGCAAGGTCTTGTGACTGTTTGAATATCCCACTTCACATCACCGATTAGTATCCCTTTATGTTTGTTCCTGAAGCACTGGGCCGGTTCTTGTTGGTTTTTGTTGTTGCTGTTCCTTTGATGTCATGTAGACTGCAACTTTGAATGTAGGACAGAAAACTATGTTCTCCAAACAAGCCCAGCAGCAATATCAGCCTTTCACAGTATCTCTGGCCTCCTGACTATCATTCTTTGTCTGCTTTCTGGGTTCCTCGCTGTCTGAGTCCCAACACTCCCAAGCTACAGCTTTGCTAAGGGTTTGCTATGGAAACAGAAAAAAATGACCCACAATCGAGTTGTTCCTGCTGACTAAGGTTGAAGCCTTCTCTGGAAGATGTCACAAGATCTGAGAGAAGAGGCTTCTGGAGAACCTGTATAGTGATATCCACTGCTGGCCTGCCTGCCAGCCTGGAACCCCTGTAAACTGACTTCTGGAGGCTCAGGGTACAGGACTACTCAGGAGTGCAAATGGCTTCAGTCCTGGAGGAATGAGTCCCTGTAACTGGGGCTGCCCTGAGCTTACCTGGCCTCTCTAGGCCCCCCGGGGTTCTGCTTCCCCCTCTGCTACCTGGCCCAGCCCCTGGAGCTTCCCTGTTATTGCTCCTTACTGTAATGAAACTCCCACAAGAAAGCAGCTTAAGGAAGAGGGGTTCCTTTGGCTTCATTGTGAGAAGGTTGTCTGTCATGGAAGGGAAGGCACAGCACCAGGAGCTCCAGGCTGCTGGTTGCCCTGCCTTGTACTAAGGAAGCAGAGAGCTCAGGCAGGACACTAAATTAGGTCTGCCCCTCACCAGCCCACTTCTTTTAGCAAGGCCCCCCTCCTAAATGTCCACAACCCTGCAAAAAGCTCCACCAACTAAGGACCACCTGCTCAAACACAGCCTATTAGGGACGTGGCATACCCAGATCTCAACTTCCGTTCCTGTCATCTCAGGATGGGGTCAGAGCTTTGGCAGGATCTCTACAGAACTGGCCAAAGCAGTATCAGTGACCTCATGCACCTGCTTTCTCAAGGACTTGTCCTGCCACTCTTACTGAATTGCCCTTATGCTTTCACAGTGGAAAACAACATTGGAGCAGTTGCCAGGCTTTCACATGGCACTTGGCTCCATCCTGAGCACTGAATAAAATTTATAATCATTGGTTAGTTAACATTCTGAGCCCTGTCATTGATGAATCCCACCGTGAACATCACAGAGCATTAACACAAACTTGGATGTATTGACCACTCACTGTGGCCTCTTACACAATAAAGACATTCTCTGAACATGAAATGTGTGATGTAGCTACCAGTGTTTCATGTGTTTTCTCAAAAGTATAATTTAGTAAATGTTTGTTTTGTTTGCTTTGGTTTTTCAAGACTGGGTTTCTCTGTGTAACCTTGACTGTCCTGGAACTTGCTCTGTGGTCCAGGCTGGCATAGAACTCAAGAGATCTCTGCCTGCCTGCCTCTACCTTCCGAATGCTGGGATTAAAGTCCTGCACCATCACTATCCAGATAAATATTTGTTTGTTTATTTTGTGTATGTGAGTGTTCTATCTGCATATACACCTGCATGGTAGAAGAGGGCATCGGATCCCTTTATAAGTGGCTGTGAGCCACCATGTGGGTGCTAGGAATTGAACTTGAGACCTCTGGAAGAGCAGCCAGTGCTGTTAACTGCTAAGCCATCCCTCCAGCCTCAGTATATTTCTAAATCAGTGGCGTAATCAATACTATAATCAAGTGTTATTGAGTGTATATGATTGTATGTGCCCTGCTTGTATGTGACTGTCACTGCAGAGAATGTAATATGTGCACTACGACATTAAGCTGGCAGTGGTGCCGTGAGGCAGTAAAATTTGTTCAAGTCCATTATAATCCTGTGGGGCCACTGTCACAGGATTGTGACGTATACAGACTTGTTGACTGAGATACCTGGGGTAATACCTATTTCTATTTAGGGTCTATGGTCTCATATTTTTCTTTGTTTTTTATTAATATTTTGTGTATCTGTGTGGTATGTATATTTATGCAGTATGAATATATGTTTGTGTAGGTTCCCAGGCATGTGAGTGTGCATGTTCATGGGAGAGAGTGCATGTGTAGACCAGTGGTCAATGTTAGTGTCTTCCTTGATTGTCCTTAGTTTTTGAGACAGGGTCTCTCACTGAACCTGGAACTGATTGACTTGGCTAGGGTGTTTGGCCGGTGAGCTCCTGGGATCCAGCTGTCTCCACGTTAACCCAGTGCCAGGATTGCAGGCACATGCCACCATGTCTGACTCTCAGATGGGTGTTGGTAATCTAACTCAGATCCTCAAGCTTGTGCAACAGGTACTTAGTTCACTGGGCCATATCCAAACCTTCTCCTTTTTTGTTTGAAGCGAGGTCTCTCTCTAACCTAGGCAGACCTGGAGCTCACCGTGTAGCTAAGGTGGCATCAAACTCACTACAGGATTGCTACAGCCTCCAGAGTGGCAGGATTACAGGACATACAACAGGATCTGTAGTCTGCAGCATAGACTTGGTCTGGGGAGCCCAACGGCCAAGAAGCCTATGCTGAGTGCCTCACCGAGCACTCTTTTCTCCCTTCCCTGCCTAGCATCCTCCGCAAAGCGCTGGATAAGATAGCTGAGATCAAGTCTCTGTTGGAAGAGAGGCGGATCGGTGAGTGGGAGAAATGCAGGGCATTTCTTGTCCAGGCATGGTGGGGGCTTGGGGGAAAGCAGTCACGGCCCAGCAGGGAGCATGGCACATGATCTGGTGGAGTCACCCAACAGCTGTCAGAGACAGACTCAGAGGCCAAGAGTGTGCCTAGTTCTCTGCCCAGACCCAGTCATTTTGCCCTACCCTTCCCACTGCCCTTACTCACTTTATCCAGGGCTGGTCATCTCTCTCCTTCCTATCACTGCTCCCTCTGTGGCGTGCTTTGGTGACATCTGTCACTCTTTGTGCCCCAAAGCCAGCCACACATGTGAAACTGGCTTAGTTCCCTGCCTTGTGGGTCTCCTCAGGTGCCACCTCCTTGGCTTCCTGACTTCTGTCTTGCCCCAGATGCAACTCTTCACCCTTTAGCGTAATCACGGTACCATTTTTGTTTGTTTTCAGTTGAAGAGTGTGATGAGCCATGGCTGATGAGGCCAGTGATCCACATTAGATAATTTGTGCCACTTCCACTGAAATTACATACACTAGTAGAAAGGAGATAAACACAAGTATCTCATTTCAGGAATTTTCATTGACCCAACACATTCACATATCCTGCACCGTGATCAGGAAATGGAATGTAACCTGCTTCCTGGAAACCCTCCTTTTTAGTTCTTCTCCATGATGGTGGCCACTGTCCTGACATCTCACCCTTTTGAGAGTTGGGCCTGTCACTTCCCAACCTTAGATGTCTGTTAAGAAGGGGCATGGATGGTGTTGGGATGCTGGTATAAAGTGCTCCAGCTCAGAGCAGTTGCTGGGGTGTGACTGGGTCAGGTACCATCTACGTGTCCTCAGGGGTTCACTTGCTTCCCACAGCGGCCAAGATCGCAGGTCTCTACAATGACTCGGAGCCCCCACGGAAGACCATGCGCAGAGGGGTGCTGATGACGCTGCTGCAGCAGTCAGCCATGACTCTGCCCCTCTGGATCGGGAAGCCTGGTGACAAGTGAGGGCAGGAACTAGCCAGAGAGGGCTGGTGTCAGGGGGCCAGACTAACAGGCTTTCTCTCCTAGGCCCCCACCGCTCTGTGGAGCCATTCCAGCCTCAGGGGACTATGTGGCCAAACCTGGAGACAAGGTGGCTGCTAGAGTGAAGGCTGTGGATGGGGATGAGCAGTGGATCCTAGCTGAAGTAGTCAGTTACAGCCATGCTACCAACAAGTGAGTGTGTGTCTGACTCTGCCTTCTCACTGCTCCGGCTTCTGCCGCCTGGGGGAGGACTTCCCCCGAAGGCTGTGTGTGTGGGGGTGCTCCCTCAAGCTGCTTCAGCCTCTTTTCATCCTCTCTCATCCTTTCCCCTGGATGCAGACTGCCCTATGTCCCAGCACTGTTTCCCCTTTGTTTGCCCGCAGGTATGAGGTAGACGACATTGATGAAGAAGGGAAAGAGTGAGTGTCCAGATGGGGAGCAGTGGGGTCACCAAGCTTGGGGGAGAAGCCTCCATTGGTTACGGCCTATGTTGTTCCCCCAGGAGACACACCCTGAGCCGTCGGCGCATCATCCCACTGCCCCAGTGGAAAGCTAACCCTGAGACAGACCCTGAGGCCTTGTTTCAGAAGGAGCAGCTGGTGCTGGCCCTATATCCCCAGACCACCTGCTTCTACCGTGCCCTGATCCACACACCCCCACAGCGGGTAAGGAGCCACCATAGAAAGCCTTTGATGACACCAGAACCTTAAGGGTTGGTCCCCTGAATCATTCTTCAGGATTCCTTCTTGCTGTCTTCTTGTCCTTCATCTCCTAAACATAGGCTTTCCTGGTAGATCCCTTGTCTCCAGAGTAGAGAGGGAAGCAGGAGAGACAGGAAGATCAGCTGGGACTCTGGGCAAGGAGAGGCTGCCCTGGCCTAGAAACGTCTTGACCAGCCCTTCCTGTGTGTCCTACAGCCTCAGGATGACTACTCAGTCCTGTTTGAAGACACCTCCTATGCAGATGGCTACTCCCCTCCTCTCAATGTGGCGCAGAGGTACGTGGTGGCTTGTAAGGAGCCCAAGAAAAAGTGAAGCTGGGGGCAGGCTAGAGTCTGCCACTGCCGACCTCACAGGAGAAGGCAACAAAGGAGTTCCTGTAATCAAATAAATACTCTTCCCTCTCACCGTGTCTCCTGGGCCTCAGTGCTTCAGAACCTCTTGCCCTCCTCCATCAGACACATGGATTGATGGCCGCAGAAGGGAGAAGACCCAGTCAGCTCCCAGGGCATTTATTCTTTCAGGTAAAATACAGTTTGTCTTCTGTTCTTGCGTGTTTGGGTTCCTCTTCAGTGCTCAAATCCATTGCTTTCCTGACACAACGTTGATAAAACCATCTTCGTTCATACACGTCCTCAGTCCTGTTCATTCTCCTAGCTCAGATTTCCTGTAGGAATACAGCAGGATGCGTCATGTTTTAGTCTTGAGGTCATAATGAATTATGTCAGCTTGCCTTTATTCCCAGTATACAGATGCAGATGCACTTACAGATGCAACGGAACTTGAGGTTGCAGCCTTTCATTGTCTTAGCGTAATGGGCATCAAAACGCTCATTCTGGGCTACAGTGAAGGTGTTTTTCCAGTCCCCAGTGGTACCTGAGAGGGAGAGAGAAAGAGAGAGACTGTTGAGTCACAGCCACAGGACCCACATGACTGCAGATTTGTCGGTGCATCCAACGTCCCTTCCCCAAATACTCCAAATGACCATCCAGTCCACTACCTACCTTTCCTCATGAAGGGAGAAACACCATGGTCCATGATTTCAGAGGGGATGGTGGTGTAGTTAGTCATGGGGTTCTCCTTCATTTTCTTGAAGGATGTGTGATACACAATGAAATCCACAGTCTCCTCAGGCAGAGAGCGCCCCAAAAACTCTAGGACCTTCTTGATCTCCCGTTTGGGGTTCTGGAGTATAGAGAGGATCTCTGGATGCTCACTGGGATAAGTTTGGGGGGATTACCCACAGGAAGCTGGCCACTTCTACCAAGAAACTTTCAGAACTAATGCCTTGACTCTAAGCCTCTTGCCCTGATGCAAAATAGGTAGCTTCCTACCCTGCCATCTTGGCATGATCTCTGGGTTCATTCTGGAGAGGACAGGGACGGACTTTGATCTCTGGTGCCCAGACTTGGCACCTCTGGAGCAGGGAGAAGCAAGAGCAGCAAGCCACCAGGTCAATCCTGGCACATGACTGACACCTCCTCCACGATAAGGGCTGAGCATGCTCTGTGCTGAGCTGTGCTGAGATCCTGAGCCAGGAGGTAAGATGGGAGGTGCTGTCTGGGGTGGGGCTGGGATAGGGATGGGGCTCAGGGCCAGGTTCCTGAGGTTCCTGCCTGTGGGACCCAGAAGGAAGTGGTAGCAGGCAGCCTCACCTCCTTCATGTCTTCATAGAAGAGATAGAGAACAGGGTGAGTGTGTGTCAGTCCCCACCACTCCTTCACATGCTGGAACCACGACCCATAGGACACTGGGGACAAGACAGCACAGACACAGGCCCTGTTAGCTCCAGCTCTGCCCCTGGGTCCAGCCCCCTCCTGGCTACAGACTCAGATTCACCTTTCCCGTCCATGAAATTCTCCAGGAAGCTCTCCCAGGTGCCTGGATCAGGGTGCACCTTGGCCATGTTGTAGAAGTTATAGTAGGAGACAGCCACATCCTTTGGATTTCGAGCGACGTAGATCACCTGCAGGGGCAGATGATCCCTAGTTCTGGTTCCTCCTGCTGTCCTGTTACCCTTCACAGGACCTAGTGAGGTACCAAACTTTCTAACACTGGGGACTCTCCGCACTTCTTTTGGAGATGGCAGAAGAGAACACAGGACTAGAAGTTGACTTGTTGAGATTTCATGGTATGGGTACCACTGACCTAAGATTACATCTTTGATGCCAAAGTCCTGGCTATTCCATGAACTATATTTTATCTGACTCCTTTATTGTCAACACATCCACATGGTAGGTCAGAGTTCCACCATCCCCTCCCAATCTCTGTCCTGTGAGCACCTGGACTCTGCTTCTCTAGCTTACACTGAAGAATTCCATTTTCCTTGTTATCCTAGCCCTGCCAGAGTGACAGCCAGAGATCCTCCATACAAGATGAAACAGGGCTTCAGTAGTCCCACAATTCCCAGCAGAACAGATCAAAGCTCAGATGATCCCAGGAGCCCTTGAATCCTCTCCCCTCAGCCCCCCTTCCCTCCCTGTCTCCCCCTCTTTCCCTTCCTCTCTCCTTTCCTTTCTTTTTCTCTGTCTTCCTGAAACAGGGTGAGATACAGCTTCAGACTGGTCTTGAACTTACTGTGATCCTTCTGCCTCTACTTCCCAAATGCTGGAAGGTACCACCATAACTGGGGTTTCTTGTTTTTGTTTTTACCTTGATCTTCTGATCCAGCAGACTCTGAGGAAGCAAGGACAGGGGCAGATGCGTCTTAATGAGCCGGGGGGCTGGTGTCTCTTCCAAAGATTCAAGACCTACAGTTGATCAGAGAACTTTGTTAAGAGGTCCTTTCTCTCTCCACTTGTGTCTAACTCCCTAGTGCTCTTACCTGAGGGAACTCCTGGGCATCTGAACTCAAGGAAGGGCACCCGGGCATAGATGGGGGCCCGGCGACACTTTTCTAGCTTGCCGTCCTGGTAGATCATGTCCAGGATCTCACTCATCCAGGTAGTACCTGCAAAGAAGGGAACAAGGGGTGAGGAGGAGCCAGGAGGTGATGGTGCACACTTTTAATCCCAGCACTTGGGAGGCAGAGGCCGGTGGATCTCTGAGTTTGTGACCAGCCTGGTCTACAGAGCAAGTTCCAGGACAGCCCAGGCTACACATAGAAACCCTATCTCGAAAAACAACAACAGCAACAACAACTAAACAAACAACAAAAAGAAGGTGTGGAGGTCCCAGAGTCTGGACCTGCTTACCAAAGTAAGGTCTACAGGACATTAGGGGAACCACTGCTCACCAGACTTTGGGTATGTGCTGATAAGCAAGTCATCGGGCCAGACGGTCAAGTTCTGCAATGGCCCAATAGCCTCTGCAAAATATTTGATGAGTGGGATGCCCTTCACCGGCACCAGTGGTGGACGGGAGAAATCCTCCATCAACTCCATGTTGCTGCATTGAGAACAGAATGTAAGACTCACTTTTTGGACAAGTTCACAATACTGTGCTGAATTCTTGCTTTAAGATTGGGATCCTGGGGCTCTGACAGCTCACTGAGGTAGCAGGTAGACCTGGGATCAGAGGCAAGTCTAACTCCAGCAAAGGTCACTACTGTGGCTACATCACTGCTCTCCTGCAGAACTTTGCATGTCCCTGGTGCCCAAGCATAGTCCAGACATTAAAGCACTCTGAGGTAGAATCAACACAGGGTTTGACATTTTGTGGGAAGATTCCAGCATGTTTCAGGAAACTGAGCACTGGCCCTGTGCAGCTGGAAGGTCGGCCCCTGGCGCATGGGTGGTCTCTCCTCCCTTTTCCTCCTTGAGCTTCTGTTACCTTCAGAAATGCCCCACACCGTCCAGACCTGATATTTCTTGCTCTGAGACGAGCATAACCAGTTTGGTTCCTAAGCGTGTTGCAAGCCAGGGAGAGATTTTCTACTAAAAGGATTCTAAAACCAGCCAAGAAAGTGGGGGGGGGGGGGACCTCAGACAAGCTCTTCTGAGGTGGAGTATGTGTGGGGAAAGAACAGAGAGGCTAGAGGCCCAGGCAGGGGTCAGATAGACTAATCAAGGTGTAGGAAGTAGCTGGCCCTGGAAGAATACTGGAACCTGTAGCCGGGAAGGGCAACGGTGGCCACCCCACTCTGCTACTCACCTGATTCTGAGTTTCTGAGCCTCTCCTCCCCGGTGCACAGTGGTGGGAATCTTTGTGTGGGTGTTGCAATATGGGAAATGCAGAATTGGACTTTGAGCTGAAGATTTTGTAGGTCCCAAGTGGGAGGGAGTGGCATCAGTACTGGGACTGACTGCTCTCCAAAAACAAGGGGAGTAGAAGGGGGTGGAGATGGGGCGGAACTCTGTGGTGATGTACTGTGTATCAGATAAAGCTTACCTGAGGAGCAGAGGACAGAGCCAGCCACTAGATTAAACATAGAAGCCAGGCAGTAGTAGCACATACCTTTAATCCTAGCATTTGAGATCTCATGCCTTTCCTACCAGCTTTTGGGATCACAGACACCATTAATCCCAGTACTAGAAAGGAAGTGAAGTAGCTGGACAGAGAAAGGCATAGAAGGCGTGAGGAGACAGGAGCTAGATGCTTTTTCAGCTGATGACTCGGAGGCTTTCAGTCAGAGGATTCGTGGAGACAGCATCTCACTTTCCATTCAGCTTGAGCATTCGGTAGTGGTGAGAAGTTTCTCTAGTGGTTTCTTTGTCTTCTGATCTTTCAGCATTTACCCAATATCTGGCACCAGGGTTTTTCTTATTATTATAATAGCATTTAGAATTCTTGCAACAGAATTCTATTACTACCCCCCCCCACACACACACACACCGTGGACTGTGGGTTTAGCCTGTAGAAAACAAGGGTAGATCAATGGACAGTTGACACCATCTAGCAAAGGGAGGGGCGTGGCCAAATGGGGACAAAGCTGTTCATGTTCCTGCTGGCTCCCAGCCAATCCTGAGGACATCTGGGTTTAGATGAGAGCAACCACAGCAGTACCCGGAACTTCTTGCTGAGCTCAGGGAAAATACAGAGCGCTGAGAGGGAGCAAGGTCAGCAAACTGGAGCTGCAGCAGAGTAGATAAGACTGTTCCGGGGAGAGACCTGGAGTCCAAAGGCCCTGGAAGGTGCCCCTGCCTCATGGCTGCTGGGCTACCTCAACCAGCGCCACACAGTCCCTAGAAGGGTTTTTACCCTCTGGACGTGCAAGCACCTCCACAAAGACAGGAAAGGCTGCAGCTGGGTGAGTCATAGGGCCCCAGGAAGGAGAAGAACCCCACCCTCTAGAACTTTGTCTTCTGCATCAAGCTGCACTGGAGCTGCAGAGTCTCTGAGTCATAGGTGTGCATCTGCTGACTTTTACAGAGTTGTATCTCAGGGGAGAGCTGTGGAATGGCAGGTGACAAGACCCTCCAGGAAAGATTTAAGAATTTCTGTTTCTCTAGGGGAAAGCTTGTTTGTTTGATACTGTACAAACTGATGACATGTCTGCTCCCAGGTACGATTGAGGGGAAGGTTTGTATTGTGGATATGAGGAAGGGTACAGGCAGAGGCATGTGGGAGACTCCAGAGAGAAAGAAGGCTGAACATGGCCAGCAGAATGGACTTGGCCATGAGGGGTGGGGTGGGGGTGGAGCAGCAAGAGATGAAGAGGGAAGAGGACACAGGAAGACAGAGCATGTGTACAGCGGAAATAGTAGGGTTGTGAGGACAATGAGAAGCTGGGGGAAGGCAAGCTTCTGAGCTGGGTAAGTTTAGGGTAGGGTTGGGATGAGAAGAATTGGGATGCCAGCATGGACTGAATGTGTAACAGGTACTTAGGATACTGAGGAAGCCTGGAGGCCAGCATTTATTGTAGTAAGCTGTTAGACACCACAGATGGCCATTTGTCCTTTCTGCCAATGATAAGGAAATGGCTCCTTTGGGAGAGGGGAACCAACCGCTTTATAGGTTCCTGAGGAATTCTGGGTTTGGAACAGAATTTGGACCTGACAGAGACAAGGTCTCACACTGTAGCCTATGAAGCATGATCCTAATTAGTCTTAACAATAAGATATCAAGGGTGAAAGGTGAAAGGTCAGAGAAGCACAGCAGCAGCCACTAGAGACTTCTTACCTCTACAAAGTCTCAGACTGAATGGGGGACATCCTGTCTCTAGGAATCCTCAGACTGAATGGAGGCAATCCTGTCACCAACTCCCTATTGTACTGGCATTAAAGGTATGAGCATCCCATGTGCTGAGATCAAAGGCATTAGATCGCAAATGCTAGGATCAAATGCCTGAGATCCCAAGTGCTGGGATCAAAGGTGTGAGCCACCACCGCCCCGCTCTGTTTCTCTTTTAGACTGGATCAGTCTTGTGAAGCCCAGGGTGATCTTCCTGCTTCCTCCTCTCAAGTGCTGGGATTAAAGGTGTGTGCCCCCGTGGCCTGGCCTCTATAGTTAACTAGTGGCTGGCTCTGCCCTCTGATCTTCAGGCAAGCTTTATTTGGCAGAACACAAAATATCATACAGCAAGCCTGTGCTGACCAGTAATTCACAATGTAATTCAAGGTGGCCTTGGATTTGTGACAATCCTCCTGCTCCAGACTCCCAAGTGCAAGGATTACAGTTGTGAATCACCACACCCAGTCTCATTAGGAGAGTTCTGTGCTTGGAATGAAGATGGGTCCTTGCAGGAGCTCTGACAACACAAGGGAGACCAGTGTCCCAGGAGAGAGACCACCACCCTATGTGTCCTCCTAGCTTCTGGCTCCTCCAATCTATAGACAAGCTATAGAGCATTTATCAGTTTTGAAGAAAACTATAAATTCATTTCTCCATGTATTATGTCTTTTTTTTCTTATGGGTGGGCATTAGGATCCAATGCCAGGCCTTAGAGACTTGAGATCCACTAACAGGAATGTATGGAGAGGGGATCCACTCACGGAAGTTGGCTCTTATAGAGGAGGGAATCCACTCACTGAACTTGGCATCTATATAGAGAGGATCCATCTCAGAACTCGGCACCTGTGGAAAGGGTCACAAACAGAGCAGCATCTCTGGAGGGACAGAGTCTAGTTGAAACTCAGAGCTGTAGCAGTCCCAACAGTGTGCTTACAGGTCACTGCCTCTGGAAAGTCTCTTTGCCAGCGCACCTGCAGCCAGTGAACGGGAAGAAAGAGAAGACTGAAGACCCAAAGGGTAGTTTGGGCCAGCAATATTGTTGGTTTTACTTTATTGTGGCACTTTTACTCTGTGAGGAAGGGTCACAAGGCACGACAAAACCCAATATCAGAGCTTCATTAGGAGGGGGGTGGGACAGAAGAGAGTGACCAGGCCTGTGAAAGACATGTGTGTGGGGGGGTGGGTCTGTAACTGGCTTTTTAAGGATTTCCCTGCACATGTACATGTGGGTTTACTGAGCTACACCACGCATGCTCAGATTGAGTGTCCACAGAGCCCACGGATGACATAAGACGTAAGGCCTCTTTTTTTTTTTTTTTTTTTTTTTTTGGTTTCTCGAGACAGGGTTCTCTGCGTAGCTTTGTGCCTTTCCTGGAACTCACTTGGTAGCCCAGGCTGGCCTCGAACTCACAGAGATCCGCCTGCCTCTGCCTCCTGAGTGCTGGGATTAAAGGCGTGCGCCACCACCGCCCGGCTGACGTAAGGCCTCTTACTTGGCTACTGAACTGCGCATGTGGGGTCGGTCATGCAGCTGAGGGAGTGACCAGCAATTCTGACAAATATGGCTCAGAGGAAAAAGACACTAGCTGCCAAAGCTTGATGATCTGAGTTCAATCAACCCTTACAGTGAGAGGAGAGAATTGACTTCTACAGGTTGTATTCTGATCCCCACACACCATGAATGCACATGTGTATACACAGGTACACACAACATATGTGTGTTGTGTATGTATTTTTTTTTAATCTGAAGGTAGTCTCTCCTAGCCCTAGAACAAGATTAAACTTAAGTCCAGCTGTAGCATTTTGTGTGAGAGAACTCCTGTGTGACAAGGCAAAACTGAGACGTCCATCCTGGCAGGTTCTGTCTTGGAAGGGGCATATTGCTTGGGACTGAGATACTTTGGGGGCCTGAAAACAGGAAATGATCACAGTCAATTGTCCCCGGATTTCCCCAGCCTCTGCTCCTGGAGGAGGGTGGCTGTTTAAGTTGTGGCTTAGGGGAAGGTTGGACAGATTCCATGAGAAGCTTGGCAGTGGTGGCCCCACCCTCCTTAGAGTAAGGCAACTCAACACTAGCAGCTCTGAGACAGAGGTCAGGGACGTCACTCCCCCCCCCCTTTTTTCACATGCAGTTTTGTAGGAAAGGGGGCTGGGTACTGAGGGCAGAAGCACCAGGACAGAGGCAGCAGGTGGTGTAAACTCCAGGACAGCCTCAGCCGTGCAGGTTTCTAGGTCACTCCATGGAGTCCTTCCTGCAGGAGTGTTTCATGCTCAGCGAGAGTAGAAAGTGCTAAGATGGGTCCTCTGATAAATGTTTCAGTCACTGGGGAACACACTTGGCTTAGACATCAGCCACCCTGAAGTATCCAAATGGGGGAGTCTGGGATGGGATGAGACTCCAGTCTCTCCTAGGACACAAAGAAGGGAGGTCTCTGAGGAGCATTGGCTCTGCTGAGCAGTTGGCCTTTGAATACTCTTGGCTCAGCACCAGTTGAAACAGCATAAAACAGGAAATCTCCAAGGTAACTGCCTGCTCTCCTGTCTAGTGGGCTCCATTCCAAACCCAGGACGTTTTCCTGCATTTTCTTTCCCTCGGCCCTTGTGTTTCCCCGTTTTCTATACTCCTGATAAGTTTACTTTATTTTTGAGAGGTGTTGTGTAGCATAGTTGAGGATGGTCCTGAGTTCTTGATCCTCCTGCCACTACCAAGTGCTGGGATCGAGGCATGTGATACCACCCCCAGTTTGATCTTCGAGACAGGGTTTCTCTGTGTAGCTTTGCACCTTTCCTGGATCTCGCTCTGTAGACCAGGCTGGCCTCGAACTCACAGAGATCCACCTGCCTCGGCCTCCCGAGTGCGCCACCACCGCCCGGCTTGATCTTGTTTTTTAAAGTATAGGGATTTTTGTTGTTGTTTCTTATGATTCTAATTCTGCTCATGTACTCTTTTTTATTGTGCGTTTATTTTATCGTTTGCTGTCTCCTCTCCTGCTTCCTAACAAGCTTCTCTTGTTTCTTTGTTTAACTAAAGAATCTAATTTCTTTTTTCTGTGCCTCCTTCCTCTACTTCACTCAATTCTTGTTTCAACCTTTACCCAATTATTTTATGATGTTTTGAGACAATATCTCTATTATGTGTTCCTGGCTGTCCTGGAACTAGATATGCAGTGCAGGTTGGTCTCAAACTGAGATCTGCCCACCTCCAACTCCTGACTGCTGGGATTAAAGCATATATAACCACGCCCAGTTACACTCTTTTTCGGCAATTTATTTTCTGCAGTTCTTGGTGGTATAGTTGACTTCAGTAGATTTAAAGTGCTTTCTCTTTTCCCCAGAGACAGGATTTCTCTGTATAGCAGCCCTTGATGTCCTAGAACTCTCTCTGTAGACCAGACTGACCTCAAACTCATAGAGATCTGCCTGCTTTTGCCCTCCGGGTGCTGGGATTAAAGTCATGGGCCACACCGCTAAATGCATTTCTATATCTGGTTTGACTTGCTATTGTTGTTGGTTGGTTGTTCAACGGTTTATGTTTTTTTCCCCCTTAGGAATACTGGGGTCACATCTGTCCCAACAGACTCACAGATCATAACAAACATGAAAAACTAGGTAGCGTGGTCCCTGAATGGAACATAACACCTTTACTGCCAGATCCAAGATACTGAAACTGGTAAAGAACTGGAGGAAGAATTCAGAGTTGAGTAGAGCAATGGCTGAGTGGTTAAGAGCACTTGCTTTTCTTCCAGGGGTTCTGAGTTCAGTTACCAGCACCCATCAAAGCTCCAGGGGTGTGATGTTTTGCTCTCTGTGGTCACCTGCACTCACATGCAGACACACATATCTACACATAATTGTTTTTAATCTTTAAATATGTGTGTGTGTGAAATTAAAAGTTAAGTTGGGAGTGGTGGCTACATACTGTGTTTAAAAAAAGAATTAAGTTTACTTGTAAAATTAATGGCTTCAAAGAGAACACAAGCAAACAAAGTAAGAAAATAATTCAGGATGAACAAAGTTAGCGACGTGGATGCAAAACTCAGCAAGGTGTGTTTTGGATGAAAAACATAAATGTTAGGAGTGAAAAAAATGGACAAATCAAATAAAAACAGTGGAAAGTACCACCAAGTAATAGACCAGTGATAAGAAGGACTTATCGGGAATGGAAGGCAAGGCCAAAGGAATACTATAGTTAGATAACAATAAAGAACAAAAAATATATATGCATAACCACAGCTTGCAAGAACTTGGGATACAGTCACGAAACCAAACCTGAAGCTATGCTGTTGCATACCTTTAATTCCCGAGAGGCTGAGGCAGAAGGATTGTTTGAGTCTGGACTACAAAGAGTGATTTTAGGCCAAATAAATCTTAAGGAGAATTGAATACTAGTTGAAATAAATGTACCCTACTGTTCTAAGATGCGATTGGAATCAATGTATCTTACTGGTGGAGGGAATAAAGGACACCATGAGTATGGTCTTCACAAAATGAAAACCTAGTCACTGGAATTTTAGTAGAAAATTTCCCAAATGTAAGAAAAAAGTGGATAGTCAAGCACAAGAGGTATTTAAAACTCCAATAGAGGAGAACCTCTTCATGACACATAGTAGTCAAGATACCCAAACTAGGAAACAAGCACTATTAAAAGATACAAAAGAAAAATGCCAACTCACAAAGGCAAATACATCAGAATAACATCATACTTCTTCTCATTCAAAACTATGAAAGCCAGGAAAACATGGAATGGCAAATTTCAAGTCATGAAAATAACTGCCAACCAAAGTTGCTGTGTCCAGCAAAGTAGTCTTTATATTTAGTGGAGAAATAGACATTTTAAGTGTTGTACAAATTAAAGCAATTAATATTAAGTCAGCAATGCAGAAGATACTTAAAAGGAATCCTAAACCCAGAGGAGAAAGATAGTGTCCATCGTAAGAGCACAGGAAAATGAGAGCATGCATGAGAAGAACTGACCAAGTTTACTTTCTGCTCCTGGAATAAACACCATGACCAAAAGCAACTTGGGAAGGAAGGTGTTTATTTGGCTTACACTTTCGGGTCTTAACCTATCACTAAGGGAATTCGGGGAAAGAAGTCAAGCAGTAGCAGAGACAAATGTTGAAGGAGTTCTGCTTACTGGCTTGCTCACTCTGACTCATGCTAGGCTTTCCTATGTGTGTGTGAGTATTTGGCCTGTGTGGGTTTTGGGAATCAACAGCTTCTGTTGCCCCAATCTTAAATGGTCTTATAATAAAACCCGGAGCCAGCCGGGCGGTGGTGGCTCATGCCTTTAATCCCAGCACTCGGGAGGCAGAGGCAGGTGGATCTCTGTGAGTTCGAGGCCAGCCTGGACTGCCAAGTGAGTTCTAGGAAAGGTGCAAAGCTACACAGAGAAACCCTGTCTTGAAAAACCAAAAAAAAAAAAAAAAAAAAAAAGTACATTCATTTTGCCGGGCGGTGGTAGCGCATGCCTTTAATCCCAGCACTCGGGAGGCAGAGGCAGGCGGATCTCTGTGAGTTCGAGGCCAGCCTGGTCTACAGCGCGAGATCCAGGAAAAGCGCAAAGCTACACAGAGAAACCCTGTCTCGAAAAACCAAAAAAAAAAAAAAAAAAAAAAACCCAGAGCCAGATATCAGGGTGGAAGCTGAAAGATCAGAGAAGCAGAGCAAGCCACAGTCTCTTACCTCACCAAGTTCTCAGCCTGACAGAGCCTCTGCAAGAGCTGGAATTCCTGTCTTCTCCCACCTTATATTCCTTTCTCTGCCCAGACATGTCACTTCCTGTCTCAACCTTCCTAGTGCCGGGATTAAAGCCATGTGATCCCAAGTGCTGGAATTAAAGGTATGTGCCACCACTGCCTGACCTCTGTGGCTAACTCTATGGCTCACTCTGTCCTCTGATCTTTAGGCAAGCTTTTTTTGTTTTGTTTTGTTTTTTTTTTTTGTTGTTTTTTTTTTTTGTTTTTAGAGACAGAGTTTCTCTGTAGTTTTGGTACCTGTCCTGGATCTCGCTCTGAAGACCAGGCTGGCCTTGAACTCACAGAGATCCACCAGACTCTGTCTCCCAAGTGCTGGGATTAAAGGCATGTGCCACCCCTGCCCAGCTGATTCTTTAGATTACAAATATATCACCACATTTTCCCTTTTTTGTCTACAATAATAAAAGAGGGTTATAACTAATATAAGAAAAACTATATACAATAAGTATATACAATATATACATTCAAGAATTACATTAACAATGTCCAGTCCATAAACATTTGACAAATTCAGAAAAAATGCTCCATTGTTTATCATATTTTGGTGAGTCCAAAGTGTTGTATCTAATTCACTTTGTATCCTAACTTGTATTACCAAGCAAAAACTATCTTTTGATGTCTTTCAAACGTATATACTTTACACTTCTTTAGTGAGTTTCTTTTCTGAATTTGTTAACAAGGAAAACTATATCTAGTCTTCAACTCCCTCATAGACCCAAGAAGGAAATAATATTACCTAAGTAAACAGAAAGTACAGGCAAGCACCTTCCAAAATGTGAGAAATGACAGAAATAATTGGCTGCCTGGACAGTCATCCAAGGTTCCTCTGCAATGTTGGGACATCCATCTTCAGCCTACAGGCTTAGCATATCTGACAGACCTTTCTGTGAAGCACGGTTTTCTGAAGGGCTTTCCTACTTTGTTGTGGCAAAGTTCATCAGTCCTTTCTTTTGTGTCCTGCTTGTCCCATTTGGACAGCATACTGTCAGCAGTCAAGGCAAGGGCATTTTCTTGCCCAATAGTTCACTTACCACAAAGAATGTAAACTCCATATGGAGTTTTCTTCAATACCAATCATCTTCCCTGAAGCAGATTGGTGCTACCAGGAGCAGACAGGTCTCATTGTCATTAAAAAAAAAAAAAAAGAATCTATGTTATTAAAACATCTTAAATGCCATATTCCATAGATCTCTGAAATGTTTGAAGACCACTTGTCTATCTAAAATATATCTCTGACTTTGAAAACATACCTATCCTGACTACAAGTTTGATTGTAATAGGTGAGTAACTACTAACCTGAATTTCTTTACATCCTAAGTAGTTGGTTATAATAACTTTAAAGGACTAGAAAATTGTATTACATTGTTAAATGAGCTGTATAGGTACAATGCCTTGAACAAGATTAAAAATGTATGTAGGGTACATTCTAACAAAATGAATCTCAACTTTGTATTAATGTACAAAGATCTATATAAATGTAAAATATTTAAAACAAGTAATTGCTTTTTAAAAGTAGATTCAATAATCTATCTTTTTATATTATCATATCCATATTCTCCTTTTTTCTTTTCAGAGTAGATTCAATAATCTATCCTTTTATCCTATTGTTTCTGTATTTTTTTTCAGAGTAGATCCAATAATCTACCTTTTATAGCTATATCTACTTTTTTTCAAACAAGAACCCTGAATCTAATCTCCTTTGTTTAGCTTTTTTCCTGACCATTACCAATAACAACCACCCTAATTAATGACAAATGTCCATAACACATTGAACAACCAAAGTTACCCACCCCACCTCTTGGGAATGTGGGCATCATGTTCTTAAATTTCCTTCCTGCTGTCTTGGGGCAAAGGCATCTTTAGGGGATCCTGAAAAAAAAATGTGGGGTTAATTGTCAAATCACAGGAGAGGTAGCTGTGTCATTTGTTGTCCGGTCTCTGCATAATGGGAAAGTTCAGGGCTTGTCTCAAGTCCTGGCTATAGCAGTCTGTGAGGCTGGATCATCTCAGCTAGCCATCTCAAAATTGTCCTGAACAGTTTGTAGTCCAAAGCTTAGTGGCGTTATCATCATCCTGATCAAATCATCATTGTAGGGTCCCATCATCCTTTTGGAGACTTCAAAGGTTGCTGTTAGTCATGGTCATGGTTCACTGCAGAAAACTGATAGAGACTCAAACTCGAAATCATGTACAGGAAGCTAGATGAAGCCTTTTTTCTGGAATTAGTACTCTATATGACCATTGATAGCATGACAGAAGTTTAAAATTTATATATATATATCTTCTAAATTTTGATATAAAATTCATACCTTAAAAAGTTTTAAAGAGTGAAAACCAAAGGATTATGAGATTAGTAGCAATAGAATAGTCCCTTAATTTTGGTTTTTCTTCTGTCCCATATCAGGTAGCTCTTCTGATGTGATATACAGAGATTTTTTATTTTCCTTTAACAAGCATGCTTGGGTTTAGAGAAGGAGAGAGCCACACTCCAACTTCAAAGCCAGCTTTAATTTTTTTTGTTTTTTTGAGACAGGGTTTCTCTGTATAGCTTTGGTACCTATCTTGGAGCTTGCTCTGTAGACCAGGCCTGCCTCAAACTCACAGATCTGCCTGAGTGCTGGGATTAAAGGTGTGCGCCACCGCTGCCCACCCAGCTTTCATTTTTAATTGAACTAAGACTACAAAAAGACCATTTGTATTATGTATCTGTAGAGAACAGCAGAAACAAACATTTAGAAAGATTTATGAAATTTTATCCTGTTAGATATGTGATATACCAATAGGCCAATTTACTCTTTTCCTTGGGACATTTTTTTCTGGATGATTTGTCCTTTTTCTTCAGATGTCTCATTTGTTCAGTGTTCTTCAGATTCCTTAGCCGTAATTCTCCTGAAAGACAAAAACAAAGCCTTTCCCCAACCCTAACTTTGGGGAGGTTCCCTTTTGGCAAGTTATATCAGATCAAATGAAAAGTATTTGTTAGCAGTATAATTTAGTTTAAATTGAATGGTCATGCTAGTTGATGAACTATCACCTCTTCTAATTAAGAGGTCTCTCTTGTTCTAGTTTCTCTTGAAATTTTTGTTCTCTCTTCTAGAGCTATTCTATCATCCAGAGCAGTATAGTTTTTTTTACAATAGACACTAGGTTCTTTAATTGCTCTGGGAAGGAGTTTCTTCCATGATGACAGGAAAGGACTGAACCAAGTTTGACATGGGCCTGCAAGAGGCCCCTCGGGGTGTTTCCCAACAGCAAAGACAAGGGATTACCTTGTCTGTCCATTGCTGATCTCCATTCATTAGTCCAATGTCTGCCTTTGCCACACCTTCTGCATAATCCAGAAGGGAGGGGCATTCTGTTGGAATTATTTCTTGAAAAAAATGTAAGGAATGCTCTGTTTACAGTTCCTTTTAAGTGGACCTTGTTTACCACATTTGAAACATTTGACATTACTGTTTTTCTTCAAATTTCTGGAAATCACCTCTCCTACCCAAGCTCATAATGGTCATGAGATTCAATATTGATTATATCTATTCCTCCAAGGGTGCTGGTCTTGCCTTTAATGACCTAATTACCCTTTTGCATTGTGCATTAGCATTTTCAAAAGCCAGAAATTCAATTATTATTTGTCTAGCTTCTGAATTTGGCATCATTCTATTTACTACTAAAGTCAATCTTTGAAGGTTTCTTTGGGACCCTGTATAACTTTTGTAAACAATTCCTTTTTCTTTCCTACCTCTTCAATTTTGTCCCAAGCATTCAATGCTACAGTGCAGCATAAGCCAGGGTGTGGTCATCATATAAAGATTGTCTTTGTATATCAGCATAATTGTCCTCTCCAAGATGTTGATCTTGGGAAAGTTTAATATCTCTAGCCTTACATCATTGTTCAATGGTCTTAGCCATCCTTCTAATAGGTCCTTCATTTGTAATTGGGGACCATCCTCTAAGACAGCTATAACCAAATCTTTCCAGTCTTGAGGAATAATTCTATTACAAGTTGACCATGAGTTTAACATCTACTTCACAAATGATGAGTGCATGCCATATGAGTCTATTGCTTCTTTGAATTTCCTCAAATCTAACATTTGCACAGGAGTCCATTCAGCTCTTACACAGTCTTGGGGATATCTATCATTTGGCAGTTCCTGTAAGGTTACTGGATAAGTGAAGGTTGGCTGTTTGAAAGCCTTAGGTTGTTTCTCTGTAACCTTATAATGCAATGCTGAAATAGGTTCTCCTTTAAATTCCTCTGTCTGAGTCTGAATATTTTTATGATCTATTTTAATAAGTTTCTCTAAGACTTGTATCTTGGCACTCATATCAACCAACTTGGCATTCATATAAACCAACTTTTTTAGGGATAAAACAAGAATGATAAAACTGAATGTTTATTATTGACATTACGTCAATCCCATCTAAGTTAATTATCCTTTCATTTAATTGTTCCATTTTCAGACCATCTAGTGTACTATCAAACAGAGACCAAACTCCTTCCATTGTAATATTGTTTCCCGTTTTTCTTTTTTAATGTGGGGGAAAAAACTCTCTTTTAACTGATTTCTCCCTTTAAGAAATCCCAATTGATTCATCAAATCTGCTGACAATGGCAATTCAGATGATGATGTG